TGCGCCCGTGAATTTGACTGTTGATTACGATTCCCTGGTGTGAACGGTGCTTATAAATATATACCCGTATAAATATATGTAATCTAGGACGTCATTTTCGGGTCCGTGCGAATTAATCCGGATGAAATTAGGTCGTTAATAAAAGATAAACCTCGTTAGGATTTATGAAACTCACTTAATTCCACTGCCGGGTTCTTAATGGACGTGACCATTTCGCAGGGGTAGCTTTGGGGTCTTCGATCTATGACTCCCATTAAGTGGGACTGAAAGCAACTACCGGGTGTCCATTCTCGTGATCTCACCATTTGAGTAGAACAGTCGCGCGTATACATCGAAAATATATGCAATCAGAGTTAAACTTATAAATACGTAATCACGAAATCTTCCATACCGACCGGAACTAAGGTTGACAATGTAACGAGAATCATAAACCCATAACAGATGCGTTCGCAATTTCCTCATAGAGACCCGACTGCCCATAAGCTCCTACAGTAAAATATATTCCATAGTCGGCACCATCATGACAACCTATTCCCATGACAACGTGCACCATAGACACCGACCGTGCCATTAAAACTTTTATCCTGGAAATATTACAGGGTGACGTACCAAAACTCCCACGGGATCTGCCTATCCGTCGTCCATTTTCCCTCCTATTGTCTGCACCAGCCAGATAACCCTCCTCATCCCCGTACCTAGTGAATGGAGGGGTGCGGCGATACAAGATACGGGGATTAACATTTTAGGGGTTGACCAATAGCCAGCTCCTGGTGGTGGCTGTACATAAACGAGAACACGTCCCTCATTACGTCACATGAAAATCATAATTCCACCCCTAAAAATCTCCGCACCTAACTGCACATTTTTTGGAGATAAAATTTGAGAAAAAAATTCGAAATTTTCTTTTGACTGACCCCTCCCCCCACTTCCTCCCCCTTTCCCCTCTTATCATCTCATCCCTGGTATTAGCTCAGTCATCGACTAAGCAAACACCCTTCTTCGTGGTCTTCCCAGAGGCACTTCAGCCCGTACAGCCGGTTTCCCATGCAAAAGCCCGAAGCCTCGTGACAATGTAAATGTTTGCATCGTTGCTGCAGGACACTCGAGTAATCCCGTAGGAGTGAATCCCTGTATCTAATAGCTATATATATATATACGTATGCCAAGTAAAACATATATCAAGAAAGTCATACGTCAGCCGATGTACGTATGATACATAAATAAGGATAAAATATAATAACGTCCAATAGAAATGCCCATTGAGTAAAACTTGAGTTGCTTCCAAGACGTGTGCGCATGCGCATTGATGATAAATAATAGGGGCCCTGAGAGCCTTAATGGATCTGACTTCTGTCGCGCGGAAGTCGTCCGCTAACCACAGAGCTCAAAGGACACGACGTCCTTGCCGATGTCCTGAGCCAGGATATAATATCGTTATATCATATACCCGGTCATTTACGTATACTTAACAGCTGCGTATTCCTCCACTCTCTTGCTGCTCTTCTTGCTTTATATCGATATATCTATAGGTTAAAACGCTCGTACTGGACGAACTTCACGTGGGTGTTGTTTATGGGTCTAGGCCGGAGGCGATCTGATTTGCGAACGCTATTACACGGAGGATCGCTGTAGCGCAACTGTTGCATTTATGAATGCGATTACTTTAACATACATCGCGAGGCTCCTCCTCGCATCTTGGCTGAATTTTACGTGGACGCGTTCTCGCCAATTTCACGAGGATCGCGAAGGGGGGAGTTACTAGCGGGGTTATTTTAGGTTAGTCATGTTTACCGTGTCGGATGCACTTTCGATGGACGTTACTCGGATACGATGGACTTACGTTGCGAGAGGTTACGCTTTGGAACGTTGGTCCGAACTCGGTAAATTGGATCGGGAGTGGGAAATTGCAGTTTCATAGAAACTAGTGGCAGATGCAGGGCAGGCGGCAGATGTTACACAAAGTGTGTAAATCTGATTTACGGTATCGACCGAATGGATGCTGGGTCGAAAGAGGTCCTTGGTCATTTTATCCGGTAGCAAAGCTGGATTCTAGTGCCTTTTACCTATGCAGGGACTATACCGTAAGAAAAGTCTGCGTTAAGTCTGACGGACCTCGACAGGGGCGTACGAACGGGGCTCGTCAGTCTTAATGCTATTCATAATTAAATAGTCATCAGACTCGACTGCTTAAGGCGAGTCCGAAGTTTTGTAATCAGACGGGCGTTTCTTTGAGTTCTTCTCGTGCTGCTGTTTTTTTTTTTGGGTCTTTTTATCGATTTTCCTGAACATATGTTTTTGTTAATTTTTCGAAATTTTTAAGATTCTCAAAATTTTTTTTTACTCTCGTCCCACTGCTTAGTAACTTTTTTCGGTTCTCTTTCCACCGTTTATCGCGACTGTCACTTTTCAGTATACTCACGTGTAACACATGGCAAGTACCAATTGGCAAATGCCAATTGGCAAGTACGAATGGCGTGTGCGGCTCAAGTTTCCACGTGTGTCGCGCATCGATAATCGCCCAGGTAGAAATAAGTCTTGTCCGTTGCTCGTGGGGCATTGCCAGGCGTTTAATATGCACGAGCGTCAGAGGCGCAGTGCGTGATCCAAGGCGGGTTCTCACGCACCGGCAGGATCGGTAGACGGACAGAGAGGGAGATAGGGAGTGGGAGGAAGATGGAGATAAAGAGATAAGAGAAAGAAGAATAAATTGAACGGAGTGTATAGCAGTCGGTACCAGAAGACAGGGAGAGAGGGAGTTCAGTGCCAAAAAGAAATTACTGCAGATACCAATGGAGCTACACGTTGAAATAGATACGCGGGAGAGAGACAGGGTATATGGAATTTATGGCTGGAGGGAGAAAGATAAAAAAGAAATAGTGACGTTTCATCCCGATACACGCGACAAGGGGACAACGGGACTCGTAGACGTCATTGCTGCTATACGAATCTATAAATAGTTCGAAGCAGAGTTCATTCCCTTGATTCGGAGTTAGCCGTTGCCATTGTGTAATGAATCATTTATATCGGGACAGTCGAATCGCTTACGATTGTAAAATATCCCTAGATTCCTGGCTGTGAGTGAAGAAATTTTTTTGGGTAAAAAATGTTTTTACTACGTAACTTCCATCATTACAGCTCATGTGCTCACCTTAGAGCCAAGGCAGAAAGTAAAGGATGTATCGAGTTCGTCTACCTGCTCTACCGTTAAGTCCGACTGTTAACACGTGTTTCCCTAGGGATAAGAATCTTCACGAAAACCCTAGCGAGATTCCCTAGCCTTTCGTAGATAACGACTGGATGAGATAAGAGTCGGTGAACCTTTGTAAAGATAATTTTGTTTTCTCGTATCGATCTACGTGATTTATCTGAATTTATTGTATGCATATTAACTATTGGACTTTTTATCTAGTTACTTTTACGACTTGCCTAGTGACTTTCTTCGTTTCCGAGGATACGAATTGAAATTAATAAAATTTCGTGCAGCCGTTTATTCAGTGGACGATTTGAGTCTTCTTCGTTGATTCGGTGTATGGGAGTAGAAATAATGTTATATTTATCTTCCGTGCTAAAAGGGGTAACTGACGACTTGGACCGGACTACTAACAGACTTTTGTCTATCGCACGTGGATTACGTGACTTAAGAAATTTATTATGGCCTAGAGAGTATGGATGAATAAGTAAGGGGTCCAGGGTTAACGGAAGAGAAGAGTCCGACTGGAGAAATAAGAGCTCGCTTTTGTTTCAGGCCGATGTCCGATAGTGCTCCACGCGTGGACGTGTTCCCTCGTGGTCGCTTAGGACACGTGTCTGACATTTGCGAATACGTACGGGTCAGATACTACAATGAGGCCCTCTGGTTACTTAACATTCTATGAGGCTTCTTCGGCAATTAGAATCCACGTGGATTCCTTGCGTGCCTCTTTTGGCTCGTCTCCTGCGGTAGAATCGTGAGGTCTTTTGAATTAAATAATTTCGAGGATTAAATTCAAAAATCCATCGTCCATTTCAAAACGACGAATTACGTTATTTGCATTGCCTCGCTGTTACTCCGTGACTGCAGCCACTTACGTTAAAATTAGCGTCTGGGGGAAAATGAAATTCCCTAGTGAGAATGACTTCGAGAACGAGAGTGCACGTTTGGCTGGTATCCCGTGAAAAGTAAAACGAAGTGTTGCACGGAGGGGAAGAAAAATAATGCAATGCTCCTACACCGTAACTAGTAACGAGACGGTGAACTGGGCTTATCTGGCTTCACAATGGCTACGCGCTAAGTACCCGCGCCTCTGTAATTCTACTGGCATGAGCCTCGTGAACATTAGTTGCTCGTTACTCGAGGCAGAGCCGCAACAATGGGCGCGAGGCGTATCGCAATTTGCGGAATGAATTCCTGTCTAAACTACCGGCTGACACGTGCGATTGAACTTCTTAGCTTTATCACGGGCTTCTCGCAGATACAAGGATAAAGGGATCAATTAATCGGTTGATAATCGAAAATTTTATTATTTTCCTAGTAACGATTTAGCCATGTTCTTCTTTTTTTACGGGTTGTTAACCAACCCGTTGTACAGTCCGGACAAAGTTTACTCGTGATAGGGTCACGTTCTACGCTTATGCGTGAGTGGTGCTAATCGTTGCTCAGACGTTCTAATTAGGCGGGTTGTACTATAAAATAGGGGGAAAACCAAAAAAAAAAAAGATTCAAAGATGAGAAAAGACGGCGTCAAGTACCAAAGGATTCGTGCTGACTAAGAATAAATATTTTCTCGAGGTGTCGAGGACGGTGATAAAGGCAAGAAAAGATCTTTTCTTTGTATCATGCCGACTGTCTCTTTTTTATTTTCTTCTTCAGCCAAACGTCTTCTTTTCTTTTTTTTTTTTTTGGCAAAAAATTGCATAGGATCCTCATGAATTTTTTTTTGTCTACTCTGCTAATTATAATAGGGGAATTAGCGTTGTCTTTATTTTTTCTCATTTTTTCTTATCCTTCTCCATTCTTTCAGGCTATCCTACAGAAATCCTCGGTGTCAGTCGAGATCGAAGTCAGACCACGGCAACTGGTACCGGATACCAACTGTTTCATCGACTACCTGCCACAACTGCAGTTGATCGCTAAGGCCACTTCCGGTGCACAGCCAATATATACGCTGATGGTACCCCTGGTTGGTAAGTGGGATAATTAATAAATTTACAGGTGCATCCGACACCAAGGTTGGCTCCTGCGTCGAATGACTGAAATGTAGGAAACTTGGATGACCTAGAATTATCATTGTTACTAATGATCAACGCTAACGATAGTACCAATAGTGGCGATACTGCTGGTGTCGGTAAAACAGATTCAAATTAAATTTGAAAAGAAGTAAGACAATGACGGAGCAAATATATGAAATTGGTCCAGGACAATGAACTTGAGCATACAGTCCATTTCCATCGAGAATATCGCTCGGCTTTAGAAAGACTCCAGAACGAAGGACCGGTTAACCTTTGACCCGGGCGCCCATTTCTCAGCCGCAGGACGACCGATTATCCTTGGCAGTCAGGATAAAATAACAAAGGCCATGTAAGAGATCGGGGTTGGGGTGGTTTAAACGTCTGCAAATAATGCTAACCTGCCGATAAATAATATCCTGATAAATTACGATGGTTCCACGAAAAAGGATATTTTAACGAGGCAGAGCGTAGCCAGCAGCAAAACCTTCGGGTTCGAACGTATAATAAAATATATCGATAACCAAGGGGTCACAGGGTCATTGTCATTAATGATTTGGCGCGGCTAAAAAAAATATATATATACATTTCAATATTTAATATAATTTTTCAAAAATCATATATTACAATCTCCTACTCCATGCGTATATCCTTAAAGCATACGGAGATCGTGTCCTTTGGTACTTTCCAATTTCATATTATACCGTGTTAATGAAACAGCCATAGAAATATGTATATTTGATTCAACCGGAATAAAAAAAAGGCAAATATTGATTATCGATAGGAGATACCTTGACCTATTGAATTTTTCGAAAAAAAAAAATTCCAAAATTACGCGGTAACATTTGCCAGCGATATTAGGCATTAATAGAATCCTTGTATTGAAATTCTGTGTACAGTCGGCAATGGGCTTATGTCATTGACTGAATCTCAACCATAGATCATGACCTCTGAGGTCAAAATGATTACGAAAGCGCAAACACCTATTTCATCGTGTCATCCGTCATGGTACCGATGATCGTCATCGTCATCGCCCGTCACAGTTGTCGTGCCAGTCCTTCGTACCCACCATACACCTTTACCGATTCTCCCTGCTACTTGGCCAGCAATGATAGTTCATTGGGTCATCGTCATTAAGTCTCGTGAGAATGACTTACAGACGCAGAAGGCCTTGCGGACTCCATTGGCCACGCGAAGCCACCCTTCGTCCTTCCGATCCTCGTTCCCATGATCCTCATCAATTTCGTTCGTCCCTGCCGGTATACATGAATATCCTTATTTTCCCCGACCGGTCGAAAGGCCCCCATTGGCCGCCGCGCAGACGCTAAACGTAGACGTCGGGTCGATGACGCCGTGATTATTACCAGTAATGGCAGCAGGCCTTTGCGATCCTCAGGAATCCGAATCGATTCGCAGCTGGCAATTATGCCACAATTGGCTAATCCAGCCTGTCGCGCCGGATGGCCTACAAAAGGACGTATCTCCGGGAGTCCCTTGCGCAACCCTCGATCGAGCCAACCGGCATCTTTATCCTCGTTCGATGCGCGGTAATACGTGAAAAATTATTTTTTTATCAAAATAACAAAATTACGTAACCTTGGCAACCAGTCTCGTTGAATCTCCCAAAAGTGGTAAAAATCGTATCAAATTCATCTTACGACTTGCCATGTTACTCGATTGTCAATAGAGATTTTAATTGGTCAATTAATTAAAAATACTCCCGGACTCCGCATAGATAATAATTAACTCGTCCAACGTCGTACCAAGGACTTCCTGCACGCCGGCTAATTGGATCCTTGGATCGGCGAATAAAATCATTGCCAATGAGAAATAGACTCGAGTACCCGATGACACAGTGACACGGTAACACGTGGTCAGCTGTCAAGTAAAATCAGTGACTAAGAATATTTGTCAATGATACAATTGAACGCGTCGATCATCGGCGTTACGCAAGATAAATAATAATACATAATTATATATTTCGCTTAGCATAAATTTTGATCGCGTCTTATTGGATTTCCTGCCAAAAATTTTTTCTCCCGTCAATTCTAATGGCGACTTGTCTTTTATCCGTGCTGTTTTATATCTGTCTTCCGAGAAATTCACGGAAGCTACGACTGTCGTAATGGCGCAGGATATCGAGGACGTCGCTTTAACATTTAAGGAGGATCGGCGTGACTGTAGCGATTGATTGATTGCCTCTCGCGGTGTATTAGCCAGGACTCCTCTTTGTAGGCTAAGAAATTCCAGGAACGTCAAACGAGAGACGGATAATGCTGGATGTATTAGGTAAACTCGTAGATGCTGGATTCTGATCGTGAGAGTTAACCAGCCAAGAGAATGACCGAACGGCTGGACAAAGAGACCGAGAGAGAGAGAGAGAGAGAGAGAGAGAGAGAGAGAGAGAGAGAAACCATCCGTATGATGGACCAAGTCAGGAAGATGATAGTCAGCAGACTCTAACTTGGAGCAATGATCATGTATCGCATATAGGTATATAGATGCTTATAAGTTAGACCAGTTAAGTCCGAATAGGGAAGAGCGTGGGATAAGAAGAAAATATATATATACACGTGAACCCATAGAAATCCTAATAATAAAGGTGAGCTCACAACGTCCGATATGAATAGTAGAGTCATTGACATATTCCCACAATGCATCACGTTGCATTGGCTGCAAATATATATATATATATATATATATATATATATATATGTGCAGATTGTAAAATCCATCGACCGATCGATCAATGATCTTCTGTCGATCCCAAGGCCATTTGTCAATGATCGATCAGTCATTGTCATACGTCATAGATCAGTAAACATATTGACTGCTTGACAGCTGTAATTACATATATTAATATATGTTAATTAACGGGACGGAAGTTACGTGTCTTTATTTACTTTTAATTAAATCATTCGTGTATATATGTATATATACCGCGTGGATCTTAATTGTCCGATTATGCTTGTTACGTGCGTACTCGTATGTGATACGTAGTTGTTGGGCATTCGAGTGATTGTCGGTGAATGAGCTGGTTAGACTTATAGCCGTGGTCTGGGACATGATGTAAAGGTGGGATCACACAGGACGACTCATCCTCATAAATTTAATAGTAAAAGTGACTGTCAGATCATATCAGCGATACGGTATACATATGTTATGCATGCATGGACGATGCCTATATGTCTGACTATCTGGTTCTCCATACGGTCTGCCTGATTGCCGACCATAGATCATAGTTGCCTAATCCATTGGCCTAGTCAGCTTCACAACTGTTAAGCCAGTTAGCGTCGGTACGTCTGTCGGATGCACAGGTCCAGTTGGACGGGTCAGGGATTCATGGTTAGAAGTCATTTCCACGTATTGCTCAGCTTCCGTCATCTTAGTCTGTTCAATATCCTCGGGGGTGGCTACAGATATTTTCCTTGAAGATCTCTATCGTTTTTATATCTGAAGGATTTTGATTTTATTCATTATTTTCATTCGACCCGATTCCCTTGATCGTTGGGGGTCGTGGATGGGGATGGACGAGATCTTTGGGGATCGTTGACGAGGTGGGGGGTTGACGTAGAGATTTTGGTGGGGATGGAATTTAAGAGGGGATTAGGGAGGATGCTTATCTCAGATATCGAAGGAATTCGATGATGAAGGATGAGGGATGTTTTTTCGAACGAGGGTTGGATGCTGGATTTATGACATTTTTGTTATGACAATCTGATATCAGTGATTTTTGACCTCGTCTTTTATATGGGGTTCTGGGTGGTTTTTTTAATAATTTTTTTTTTGGATTTCATTTTCAATTCACTAATGGGGTGGATAGAAGCTTTAAAAAATTATTGGAATTTTTCTAAGCAAAATGACCGAGGGGGATGATTTTGGGGGAAAAAACGGTTTAGTCGCTACTCGTATTTTCCATCAGGGTGGAATACGCTCCGGTACCAAGGGGGTGGCTTTTACGGTGATGGTGAATATAAATACTACGGGGATGAACCCGGGCATATATGTGTATAGGAGTTACGGGTACCGACCCAGAGGATAGACCAATGCATACCAAACGTTGTCGAATCTCCGTGTTCGTCCAATTGAAAATATTTCCAATAGGATTGAAATTCCATTTGCCAAGATTTTGTAGAACGCCTCAACTCTTGGCCCACCGGGTGCATGGTCCATTATCGATTCGTATACCTAGATAGAGCTTAAGGGTAGACAAAAAAAATACCAAAATGTAGATCACAGATCCCCCAATCTAAATCCCAGTCACTGCTTAAACATTGAATCTAAAATATATTCCTCGCAAAGGGAAACGCACTGGTACCCTGTATTTACTTTGGTTTCAGCGATATATACCCAGAGTCCAAGAATGAAAAAAAAAATCCAAAATTCACTCAAGTATAACCAAAGGGAGTGCCTGTATCCTCTCTTGGTTCTGTTCGGCGATTGTTCCATCCCTTCTTTATTTTTCTTTCAACCCCCCCCCCCCCACTTCT